ACTTGTCAAGCCGTTCACTTGACTTTCCAACGCGTTGTTGGATTCCGCCGCCATAACTCTCCGAGTTGAGGACCGCCCGTTATAGTGTCTGGAGTTCTCGGCCAACTCCGAGATGAGATCTCTCGCTTGTGAAGGGGTTTTGTTGACAATGCCCCCTCCACACGCCGCATTCACCATGCGGCGATCTTGATCCACAAGACCATCATAGAAGTAGAGGATGAGGTCTTGTTCGGTGTATCCGTGATAGGGGCAACTTGCACATAGCTTCTTGAATCTATCCCAATATTCATAGAGGGATTCATCATCTTTTTGTTCGATGTTGCTTATTTGCTTCTTGAGTGATGATGAAATAGAAGCAGGGTAGTACCTGTCAAGAAAGGCCTTCTTCATTTGTGGCCATGTAGTGATACTTCCCGAAGGAAGATAGAAAAACCAATCCTTCGCGGTGTCCTTCAAGGAGAATGGGAAGGCTCTCAGTTTGATCTTCTCCTCGGAGACACCATTGGGGCACATGCTTGTGCACACAATGTGGAACTCCGACAGGTGTTTGTTTGGATCCTCCCCTCTTAAGCCATGGAAAGATGGAAGGAGATGAATGAGCCCAGATTTTAGCTCAAATGTGACCCCCGTATCAAGAGTTGGAAAAGTGATACATAGGGGCTGTTGATTAAGATTCGGAGCTGTGAGCTCCCTCAATGTTCTCGTCTCAAGAGCCATAGTGATTGGCTCTTCGGTCTCGCTAGAATGAGAGCTAGCGCTTGATGATTCCTCCGAAGAAGTATTCGGAAATAAATTCCTAAACCTTTCGAAGGCTTGTTCCGTTTGGGGGTTTGTTTGGTAGATGATTTCGTTTATAGATCGGGTTCTTACCATATACTTAAACAAAGCTCAGAAGAAATAGAAATCTTAATACTTCAATTTTTTTTTTTTTTCTTTAAAATGAAATAAAAAGAAAAAATAAATTGCCTTTCCCCGGCAACGGCGCCAAATTTGACGTGCACTTTGTCGTGAGTGCACTCAAAATAAATTCAATACTAGCACTTATACGTAGTATAGGTGAAGTAGAGTTCGTATCCACAGGGAAAGGAATAACTTTCTTTTTATATAAATAGTAAGTAAAGGGGGGGTTTTGATTGTTGAGTGATTTAATTAAATTAAACACGAAGATGAACGAGTTATATGGGATTTAATTCAAAGATAAAAGTGACTTGGCATTGCTACTTTCCACTTGTTGATATATTTTAGTCGATCATTGTTATATCTATAACTTATCTCCTCTCGAATACTCAATCGAGGAGTATATCCAATTCATCGAGGATAGTTATTAACAACAACCGTTCATTAATAACCCTTACTATTAGTCAAGTATAGAACAACGCCATATACCGACTTGATAGTAGCATTTAATCTTTTAACTCCTTGATGAAATCAATTGAGATTGATAACCTCAACACAACGGTTTCGGTTTAACCAACAAAATTAATCCCTCTTAAGTTTATTAACCACGACCGTGCATTAATAAACCGAAGTTACTTAGTTGTGAAACTATCAACGATTAACCATCGGTTCGTTGATCGTTTCTAGTAATAATTAATATGTGAAACAAAACTAGTTGATCCTTTAAGTAATGTTCAAAATATTAATATGAAATATGAATAGGGATTAATTAATATTCAAGGAAGAATATTAAAGAAGATGAATCCTACTATGGTTAATATCAAGATGTTAACTAATTGTCATCTTAGTAACACTCCCCGATATTAACATAGAGGAAGGAATAGCTATTACTAAGATCAATGTCAAGATGTTAACTAATTGTCATCTTAGTAACACTCCCCAACATTGATATAGAAATAGTATTTAAAGGAAGAATTAGTATTCAAGGAAAAGAAGTTAAGAAAATAACTCACAACTTTAATAATCAACAAGCTTCAAGAGCAATACCAAGAAATGGAAGTTTAGCTCCTCATTTGGAGACTAAACATGCTAAAAGAAATAAAGAGAAATGCTATTCTAAACTGAGCTTAAGAGTATAAAGGAATTGATTTCTAAAAGTGAAGGAAAGGAGGTGTATTTATAGGCTTTTTGAGGTGCAGGTCGGGTACTCGATCGAGTATCTATGTATACTCGATCGAGTATTTGTAGAAACCTGAATTCGATCCATACTCGATCGATATTCGAGTAGAATTTATACGTATACCCGATCGAGTGTGTCGGTGTACTCGATCGGGTATGACAATAGAACGTGGCCAAATCTTTCCTTGCATGTTCATTTGTTCCCGGATCGGATCCTTGAAAATCAGTATTGGTACTCGATCGAGTATAAGGTATACTCGATCGAGTATAGGTCAAAATCAGGAACTTTCCTTCTTTTTGTCTTGTACTCTTGCACCTTCCTTCACCATTGATCATTTGATTGATCTTGGACCTGTTTAAGCTCAGAATAAACCTAATCTAAACAATTTACAAGAATTTAAAAAACTAAACTATTACACCAAAAGTGTGTAATTTCCGAAATATTAAACAACCAAAACTAACTAAAAGCGTAAATAAACACACGGAAATTACAAACGTATCAACTACTAAGTTCTTTTGATCCTAAGAATAGCCCCCAAATTCATGAATGCATTGAGTCTTTGTTAGGATGTTCCAAACTCTCAAGAAATGGACTATTTATTGTTTATCCATTGACCATTCAACATCGCCTTCACAAGTCCTTCTGATCGGTAGCTAGTTTATTTGTGTACGCTGTCACTACTTTGAGGATGTTGTGAATAATTTTGTCAATTATTTTAGCTAAAGTACAAAGATGTAGTTTAGGAAAGAATTTTTATGGATTAGTCGGTCTGTTCTGTGAATATCCCTTTAACTACGTGTGCATGCTAATAATTTTAATTCCGTGTGGTGATTATCGTAAGTCCCATTGTTCAGTTTGCTTGAGGACAAGAAAAAGTTTAAATGTGAGGGAATCTGATAAGTCCATATTTAGACACGCATTTGATGCGTGATTGGGATCGGCTTTTGATGGTTTTCATAGCTTTAGGGTGTTGCAAGTCTCAATTTTAGCTCAAGTTATGTTTACTAGGCGCTAGTTCGAGTTTTGTGTCATTTCGAGTCAAAATCAGGGAATTTGAGCTCGACACCGGCGCTTGAGAAGCAACCGGGACAAGATGAGAAGCATTCGAGAGTGTTTCGAGAGCTTGGGAGGTCACTGAGAGGTTTACGATAAAGATTTGAAGACAAAAGAGCTCTAGAATTGGTTACAGGATCAAAAGAAGGCATATAGAGCTTGAAAACGACGATCAGGATGACCTTCTGTCAATCGTTCAAGCATATCTCTTTGTTGAAACATACAAAAGACACGATTCAAGTTCCACATGAAAGCTAACTTCAAGGGCTACAAATCATAAGAAGACACCATTCCGAGAATCTGAGAGGAGCAAGGTGAAAAAACACAATGAAGTCAGATGATCTCTGTTGCGATTTCCGAATGCCACCTCCCACCATTTTATTCATATCTTTTGATTGGATAATTCAAATCCAATTCTGCAAGTTGTGGTGGGTAGAGAACTTCATTATCTACAACTTTTATGAAAAAAGCACAGTCAAATTCGGAAGTTGTACGCACGTCGTGCGATTGGGACGCATGATTGTGCGTCTGAGGCGAATTTTGCATGAACACACTGCCAGCCACGCACGGCCGTGCATGGGGGGACGCACGCCGTGTGTGGCCCCGTTTTACGCGCAGGTTCTCCGGACGCACGGATGACACGCACGCCGTGCGTGGGCGCCGTGCGTGCCCCGGATCAGTCCCAATTCAGCTTGAATTCGTCATTTTTTATAAATAAGGCCTCCATTCTCTTGTTAAGAGGTTACGAACATTATGGAGAAGCCTAGGGACGAATTTTCTTACATTTTTACGATTGTTTACTCCAAGACCTTGAGATTATTTGTAAGTTCATCTTTTTAATTAATGACAATTATTTCTGACAAATTGTGAGATTTTGAAGGATAGCTAATTAAATAATAACTTTGACTCAATTTTAAATAAATATAAACTCAATTATTTGAATTCGTCATATATGTAAAGTGATGTTAATTATAATTCATCCAAAACTTAATTATAAACTCCCAAATAAGAAGGGTTTTCAACCATTTCTCTCACCTCCCCTTCCCATGACTAACCTTCACAACTTTCCCCTCCCCTTCTCTTCAAACTCCCAAACATACCCTTAGCAATTTCATCCTCATTTATAATGTAATGGGTAAAATGTTTTAGGTTTGGTACACTGGAATGAAGTAAAATGTTTAGAAGCGATATTACGTTAGTAACAGGAATCTAGTTTAACCAGATACATTTTTTCTAGGACAAATCTGCTTCGTGTACATAAAAGCTTACATTTTGCGTACATGTTTGTCTATTACAAATAATTGAAACACTAGCATATGGAAATGTGTATTGGTACACACAAAAGTTGTCTTGTCTGTGACTACAAACATTACTTTTCATGCAATAAGTACATTGACAGTTTGATAGGCGCACAAACCCATGTTGGCGTGTCCACCAATCTATGTATACGCGGTGTTTGTGCACATATAATAATTGTCTCTGCGCAAACAATATTTTCATATGACCAAATTATGATTTTTCAGATATATTCTATCACACATATAATAGTTGTGCTACTCACAAACAATAGTTGTCTGTGTGATTCATTTTAGATATTTAGTTGTCTCTGTCATAAATTTTAATTGTCTGTATGGACAAAATATGTATTTCCTCTGTCCTTAAAATATTGTCATCTTTCCTTTTTAGGTTGTCCATTTTTTTACAATTTCCGTTTTGACCAATTAATTTGTGGTTCCAGTTATTTATATCTCTTCTTCTGCATAAATCAAAATTACACCATTTTTATTTTATTATTTTACGTATCGGTCATGAGAGAGTAATTGTTTATAGGCTCAACCCAATGTTACACGAATTAGTTGATTATGCAACCGTTTTACACTTTTGTGTACAAAAAGGGAGTAGGATATTGGACTGCCCCTGCTTTGCTTTGAGGTGTGGGCAACAACTAACGAGTGGTGCTACATGCTTATCAAAACCTGTACGCCCATTTTCAAACCTATCAGATCAGATTCAAGCCCAAATCCCGGAAGATGCTGCTCAACCATCCCCCCACCACCACCACAGCCACCGCCACCACAGCCCTACTCTTCCGCTCCCACCACCAACACAGCTGTCTCTCTCCACATCTATCCCATTCTCTGACATTCTCCGCTGGGGTTTCAAGCTCAAGTCTTTCCAAGCCGCTGACCACTTCCTCCTTCAAATGCTTCATATCATCGAAAGCCAGCAGATATGGCACCCTGGACTACGAGAAGAGGCGTTTGGTGCCGTGGATCTTTATTTTCAAGAGACTATCTTCGATACCGGACACAGAAATAGGCGCTGATAGTGTGCTGGACCAGTTGGAGAAGGAGGGGAAAAAGGTCTCGAAATTCTGTCTTTATCGCGTGGTTCAGGAATTGCGCAAGGTCAAGCGCTACAGGGTCGCTCTTGAGGTGAAAGTCTTTGATTTTCTTCATTTAAGTTTTGTTTTTCTCTGTAATTTAGTGAACATATATGGGATTCGTCTTCACTCTCGCCTGTCTGGATTTAGAATCAAACTAATGTTGGGTATTAATACTTCAGCTCTCTGCGTTTTGACGTTTCTGGCAATCAGTTGCTAACTTGTTAGGGTTTTGCTGTTCAGGTGTACGAATGGATGAAAAACAGACCCGAGAGGTTCTGGATGAGCATAAGTGACCTTGCCGTAAAATTGGATCTTATTTCTAAGGTGCATGGAGTTTCAGCTGCTGAAGAATACTTCCGGAGTCTGGGAAATCATTTGAAGGACGGGCGGGTATGCGGTTCACTCTTGAATGCCTATGCCCGATCCAAGATGAAGGAAAATGCCGAATCTTTATTTGCCACTATGAAAGAAGAAGGTTTTGTGACCCATGCGCTCACATGTAACGTGATGATGACCCTTTACTTGGACATCAAAGAGTACGACAAGGTAGAGACAATTGTTTCACAAATGAGGGAGAAAAACATCTCTTTAGACTCATATTCGTATAATATCTGGTTATCATCCCTTGGGTCTCAAAATAGTTTGGAAAAGATGGAGCAAGTTTTTGAGCTAATGAAGATTGACACAAGCATTGATCTTGGATGGAGCACTTTCAGTACGATGGCCACAATGTACATTAAGATGGGCCACTTTGATAAAGCCGGAGAGTGTTTGAAACATATGGAACTCATGATTGAAGGTCATGGCCGCGTCCCTTTCCAATTCCTAATCAGTCTGTATGGCAATCTTGGTAAACCAGCAGATGTACACCGTGTTTGGAAGGCTTACAAGTCAAAATTTATAAATATCTACAATATGGGTTACCGAGGGGTGATTACTGCCCTCGTGAAATGCGGCGATGTTGAAGGGGCAGAGGATATTTATGACGAGTGGTTGTCCGCAAAATCACCGCCATTTGACCCGCGCATAGCAAACGTACTATTGGCTTGTTATGTGAGGAACCGGGAAACAGAGAAAGCGGATGTATTTTTCAACCAAATGGTTGCTATGGGAGGGAAGCCGAACTCAAGGATGTGGGAGATTCTTGCTGAGTACTATATGATGAGTGGGGGGAGAGTGTCTGAGGCTCTGGCTTGCTTGAAGGATGCCGTTTTGGCTAATGAATCGAGGCGTTGGAAACCTAGGCGTGCAATTGTGTCATCTATTATTGGGCATTGTGAGAAAGAAGGCGATGTGGCAAGTAAGGAGACGTTGCTGGAGGTGCTGAAGCAAACAGGTGGTCTTGGTGATGAAATGAAGGATGATTATATTGACGAAGAGAAAGATTTTGCATGAGGAAAAAGCAAAGGTTCCCCCGCCCCCCTTCTAAAAAGTGTCTTCAGCGCGGAGGGGCAGTGGTGGTGTGGGGGTCTGGGGAAGGGAAGGAGTCAAGGCGTGCAGGATTGTCTTAGGGGCTTTAGACCATTGAGCGTAAATTGCAGCGGCATCTAAATGATTTGCATAGTTAGAATATGATTGGATTTTAATACGGAGTACTAAAGTTTTGGGTTTTACAAATTGGAATTATTTAATGTGTACTTTATATCAACACTTTTGAGTAATGTACGAGTATCAAATTAGTGACGGTTTTCTAATTCGTATCTAACTGTTAGAAAACCTAATAAAAGTATATCTAGATTTTTTTTTTTTTGAATCACAAGTATATCAATATATCTAGATTAATTCTTACTGTATTGCCAAAAAAAGATTAATACTTAATGTATCAATACAATACAAGAAAATTATATTAGTAGGTATGTATTAGTGTGTACCTTTTTAAGTATGGATGGACCTGGACCGGTTTGGGCCTGGACCCGGCCGGGCTTTTTTTTTGGGAAGGAAGAACTGGAACCGGCCCGGGTATGCAGCGGTTCCGGGCCGGGCCGGTTCACTTCTTATTTTTTTTAATTTTCTTTGGTTTCTTTGTAATCAACCCCTGACCCCCCCCTTCACCCCCACCCCCTTCACCCCCCAAAACACCCCGCCCAACTCTGGAAAAATGAAAAAAAAATTGAAAAAAAGGCCTGAGCCGAGCCCGGCCTGGCCGGTTCGCCTTTTTCATGACCCGGGTCCGGAACCGCTTAACCCCTCGGGCCTAGGCCCGAACCGGAACCGGTTTCCCGGGACGGGCGGCCTGAACCGAGTAAGTACTAACTTTAGTAGGTACTACCTCCGTCCCATTTATATTGTCCCGGAAAAGGGTGGCACGGTTGTTAAGAAAAGTGGGTTTGTGTGGTTGATATTAATTGATAAAGTAAGAATAAAGTAAGAATGATTTACAACCACACAAACTTTGCCAAATATGGTATGAGACAATTTAAGTGAGACTTCCCGAAAAGGTAAAACGGGACAATATAAATGGGACGGAGGGAGTATGTATTAGTGTGTACCTTTTTAAGTAAAGAATTACAACTAATAATTTATGTATGGCTAAAGGGTCAAATAGGCCCTTGAACTGATTTAAAGTGTTCAATTAGCCCCTTATATAGGAGGTTTTGCCCGGCCGTCGCCAATTGGGGCGGTTCCCTGTGAAATTTTTTGATGAAATTTTTTGAGAATCTTCATCATTAAGTCTAGTTTACTCGTACCAAATTTCAGCTAAAAATTCAACAACGAAGGCAGTCAAATGATTTTTTAAAGATAACTGCGAAGTTAAATAGTGCAGTACATTTCGGAAAATCATTTGACTGCCTTCCCGGTTGAATTTTAGCTGAAATTCGGAAAGGGTAAACTAGACTTGATGAAAAAGATGCTCAAAAAATTTCATCAAAAAATTCCACCGGGAACCGCCCCAATTAGCGACGGCTGGGCAGAACCTCCTATATAAGGGGCTAATTGAACACTTAAGTCAGTTCAAGGGCCTATTTGACCCTTTAGCCTTTATGTATTAGAGGATTATTAATGTCCCTCCCTTCCTGACCGGAGCGCCGTCCGGCCTCCGCCTTTTGGGGCGGTTCCCGGTGGAATTTTTTACTGAAATGTTTTGTGCATGTTCCTCATCAAGTTTAGTTTATCAATACCAAATTTCAGCTAAAAATTCTATTGGGAAGGCAGTCAATGATTTTTGGAAGATAGCTGTGTTTTATATGCATATTTTGGCGCAGTTATCTTCCAAAAATCATTTGACTGTCTTCCCGATTGAATTTTTATCTGAAATTTGGTATGGATAAACTAGACTTGATGAGGAACATGCACAAAACATTTAAACAAAAAAATACCACCGGGAACCGCCCCAAATTGGCGGAGGCCAGACGGCGCTCCGGTCAGGAATTTCCTGACCGGAAGATTTCTTATGTATTAATTATGTATATGCATGTGTGTGTATTAGTTTGTATTTTTTTTATTTGAAGTATTATAACTAATCACTTTACGTATCAGTGTGTGTTTTTATATATACTAATAAGAAATTTTAAATAGGTTCAGGTCCTTAACGGATCGGAATTTTATGTATGATACCTGACCCGTTTATTAAAAAGATTAATGGGTCTGGGTAAACGAAATAAAATATAGATCCATACCTGTTAAAAACAACCTGGTTTGGGTCTAGACCTGACCCATTGATAGGCCTACCAACCTGACAGGATTTGTCGTCTGGCCGAGGCCATTTGGGACCCTTCGGTGAAAATTTTGATGAATATTTTTGATCATGTTTTTCATCAAGTCTAGTTTATGCCCACCAAAATTTAGCTTAAAATGTAATCGGGAAGACAGTTAAATAAATTATTTACCATAACTGTGTTGTTTATCTACATTTCTATCTCTACAATATTATAAGGGGGGATTTTGTTACGCGGTTAACGGTCATTAAAAAAAATGTTGGTGTCTTTTCATGCATAATCTGATTGTACTTTATATTCATTTTGTTGTACTTTATTAACCTATCGCAGCTTCCATTACTAACGGAAGGGTTCAACGTCGTATATTTACAGAGGAAATAACTCAGGTATTTTATTATCTCGATCTATTTCTTTTATTTCCTTCATCTATGAGACCTCTGAGCTTCTCTCTTCCGTTTCAGCGGCTCAGCATTCTAGCCTCCATAGTAATGTCTTCTAAACATCCGTTTACTTACTCAAAGGTCAAGTTGTCGATTATAAATACTTTGTCCCAGATGTTCAACAGATTTTCCGATATTTGCATGTTCTACTCTTGTAAGTTTTCCTCTATTCAACCAATTTACATTGTATCGTGTTTTGCTTAATTGTTAATGTTCTCCGCATCTCTGCTCAATACCTGCACCTTCGTATACTTCCTTGTCCATGAAGATTTTTGTGTGTTTCCCTATTTTCAATTTTACCGACTCCCAAACCCCTCTGTCGTTGTACGGTCTGTGATCTCAGAAGTGTTTATGGAAGTAGTTTGGATGGCTTAGGTTGATGATTTCATCTTCCAATTGTGTAGTTTCCCCTTTAAATTTATGTCCTCTATGTGTTTGTTTAAATGTCCCCATGAAATTAAGTAATTTGTTACATTTGAATATTTAATATTAATGTAACTAATCTCTGCTTTTTTATGTTTTAGTGTTGTATGAGCCTATAAGGGACCGTTAAGTAAAGGCTGAGTTACTCTCTCACTTAATACGGAGTATCAATTTTCTTTTGTAAGTAAAAAATCAATTAGGATAGTAAACTTAGCACATGCTTCTTAAGGGAGTGTTTGCAACAGCTTCTGCTTTAAAAAAAAGCACTTTTGGGGTGATTTGGAAAAAGTGATTAGTTGTAAAAGTTGATAGTGTTTGAGAAAAAAGTGATTTTGAAAAGTAAAAGTTGGTAGTGTTTGGTAAAATAAATGTTTTTGGTGTATAAAAAGAGGAAAATCACTTTTGACACGAAAGCCGAGAAAATTAAAAAATTGGTAGTGTTTAGTAAATAAATGTTTTTAAAACCAAAATCTAAGAAGTGCTTTTTTAAAGCTGTTGCAAACCAGCCCTAACTATTGTTAAAGTGACCTCAAGCTATATGCTAAAGAAGTATATTAGTGTTAGTGCCAAAGGAACAACCTGCCAACTCTGTTTCTTACTTGATTGATTAATAAAATCAAATTTAGTGGACTTAAAGTGTAACCAAATGGAGCATATTAACATAAGTATACTCATAGGGTTAAACTGAATATTTTGTGAACTTAAGTGTAGCATTTAGTTTTGGGTAAAACGTAGAGAACTTATATATAAGGCAATTAGTAAAAACAATTGTACATCCTAAAAAGTAAAGTAGAAAAAATATTTAATGCCAGTTTATGGTTTTCAAAAAAATAACCAGTTTATGGTTTTCAGCAATCAGCAGAAAGTGTTTTCCCATTTCTAGGGAGCAAATGTATCCTGGAGGATTGTCTTCTTTGATATGTAAGAACATAGTTAGGATTAAGTTTAGGATGATGATCATAGAGCATTCCTAATCCTAACTAATGAGCATGAAATTGTAGGGTTGACAGAGGTGCAGATGAGGCAATCACTAAAGAAGAAGTCAGAGAGGTAGAGTCTATCTATAATACTAGTTGTTAGTCTGTTACCATTCTTTTAGCTATTCACTTTATTTTTGCAGTGTATATCTCTAAATCGTTAGATTTTAGATATGTATCATTGAGTTTGGCCATTTCTTATTGTGCATATCATAAGTCTAAGTGCTCCTGCAAACAAGCTGTCAAATATCCAAAAACAAGTTGATGAATACGCCGTCATGATTATGGAGGAACTAGATCTAGCAACCTAGGATACATCAGGGTACATACATACTAGCTAAAAGTTAAGTCATAAAATTTCTATGAAGTCACATGCCAGTCTTCAATTAATTAACAATTACTCCGCAATATTTGGGATAGTCCCTAACAAATATTAAACAAACTTATCATGTTAGTTTTCCCACATCGGATATCAAACCGATCCATAGTTGTATTTGGGTTCCTATTAAAAAAATAACCAGTCCCAAAAAGTGTCAGATGTTGAAAACAAAGATATGCGCCACTTCAAAAAAAATGCATAATCGAGATGATATATTGGGCTGAGAGGTGTTTGCTTGTATAGTTGTATGTGACAAGAAGAATGAATTGCATGATTAGATTAAGGGTGTGATCGAGATGAGTGGTAAAGAGTTTGACTCATATTGTCTTATATGAAATAGCAAACTAACTAAGATTACATGATAATCAAGTCTTAATAGTTTATTAGTTCTTGGGTTAAACTAACTAATACTACGTTGATTATATTTAATCTTCAGGTGTAATTTGCCCAAGTGTGTTATGTTCAAGTTGATTGACCTAATCTGATCTAGAGATCTATTGACTTGATTACATGTGTAACAGATTGAGAATTTGGAGATGCTGTTATTGCAAGCTCAATTCAGACAGTGAGGGGGCATGGCAGCCGTAATTTGAGCCAAATGCTAAGCCAAAAACTGAAGCCGACTGTAGTGTCGAACCCTCTGATCCGATGGTGCAAAGATTTCAAGTACTTCATGTTGGGTGCTTCTATTATGGAACAGAGCTATGGTTGGGCTGTTTGTTTGGAAATACATTCAGTACAAGAACAAAGTTGCTTATGATGTTATGGGTGCATGTGTTTGTTATGCTGCAAAAACACTTAAGCTGAACATGACAATCATTCTTTTACCCGTCTGTAGAAACACCATTACCTGGCTCAGAAATTAGACCAAGTTAGGCATTGCAGTCCCTTTTGATGACAACCTCCACTTTCATAAAGTACTGATCCATGTTCCGATACTTGTTGTCCTGATTGTCAAGTCATGCTACTTCAAAACAAATTTAGCATATAAGTCATTTGATTTTTGTATCACGTATTCACGTTATCCCGAATTTAATCTATTAATATAGTATGAGAGCTCAAGTTGTCTGATGTTGAGACCACCATCTACATTTGTCTAATATATTCATTGAACCTAACCGAGATATTGTTGTCCCTACAATGGCCTTGGGCATTATCACGAACGCGCAACGCGCGTTATTAAACTAGTATATATATATATATATATATATATATAGAAAAAAGATCACCTCAGGTAGTTCTGGCGGGAGGCTCCGTTCAAATTTGCCTATCAGAGGACCTTCCCGGTGGATTTTTTATTTTTATTTTTTGGACATGTTATTAACCTAGTCTAGTTTATCTACAAAAAATTAAGCTAAAAATTCAATCGGGAAGACAGTAAATTTTTTTTGGAAGATAACTACGTGTTTATATGAATATTTTGGCGAAGTTATATTCCAAAAATTGTTTGACTGCCTTTCGGGTTGAATTTTTAGCTGAATTTTTGTATGGATAAACTAGACTTCATGGAGAACATGTTAAAAATAATTAATCAAAAAAATCTACCGGGAAGGCCCTCTAATAGGCAAGTTTGGACGGGGCTTCCTGTCAGAATTACCTGAGGTGATCATTCCTCATATATATTTACTAAACACCCTTATTGACTGATTCATGTGGTCAAAAGGCTAAATTGTAGTCTAATTAACCAAAAATGGTTGATAGGCTGCTAAACAAACACCCCCTAAATTTCAACAGAATGAGCTGATTCAGCCGATTTTGGCATTGCCAAACGGGTTCTATAACTTTAGTCACTTATAAATATGAACGAGTAATTGATAAATTTGTCTATATTAAAGATTTTTCACTCAGAAAATAACCTTTTTGAGAAAAAAAAATCAGAAAAGTGACCACGAGAGTCAATTTTCAAGACTAAATTTCAAAGTTTGTCAATAAAAACGTTAAATTTCATTTAATAAATATCTATCTATAGATAATACATTTGAAGGTTACAATTATGGAAAGTTTTGCCATGTGTCATCTTTTGAGCAAGCCTAATATATTATACTTCCGTTAGATTAGCAGTTTAGTTAGATTAGAAGTCATGTTATTACGTAATCTATTTAAATAACAATGCAATGTGTTGGAATATACGTAATTTAAAAATTAAAATCCCATATTTATTTTAGAGTGATATAATTTTTTTTTTATTTGTACTCAGATTGTCACAAAAAATATATCAAAATTTATAACTTTTCGTTATCTTTCATATGACACCAATATTGAGTATATAAAAATTTATCTATCTATAGATAATACATTAATACATTTGAGAGATACAATTACGGAAAATTTTGTCATGTGTCAAATTTAGAGCAATTTACTCAAAAGCCATATTTTCTCACGGTCATTCTCCTCATTAAACATAGATTTTTTTAAAATTGCCTAGACTCCTAGAGTAAAATCAATTGGTCCCATAACAATTTCATAAATAAATACTCCGATATATAAGATTGCTATTGAATTGCAACCCTTTTCTATAAAATTTTACTTGGATTTTATGGATGCAAGAATAATGGCACTCAAATGCAATTACAATCAAACACATATTCTCCAATATGTAATCGCTAATAGATTAGAGAAAAATTATACTAATAGATTAAAGAAAAATCATATAAAAAAATTAAAATAATCTTCTACAATAACTTCAGTCAATTCAGTCAAAGAGATAAATCTAATTTTATATATTTTGATTGTTATCCAAATCAACATGGAGAATGGAAAGTTACATGTTTGTAAAAAGGTTGTTTGATAAGATAGATAAGCTGAAAAGAGAGGTTGTCAAACAGGCTTTTAAATTTGTATAAACACTTTACTTTTGATTCTTCAAGCTTAATAGTGTAATAATCAAAATATATATAAAAGGTTAGTTTTACTATTTTTTACTTAATTGACTAAAGTTATTGTAGAATATCATATTGTCTATTTTATACTATGTATAATTTTTCTTTCATCTATATAGTTTTTAGTACATCTATTATTCCATAATTCAGTGAGAAAAATTAAAAATTACGTGTTTATTAAAAAATTGACAGTTAAACAAATAAGCTAAAAACAGAAATTATCACATGTGCACTTAACTTTTTTCTAGGATTGCCCTATGTGCAAGTTAATACAACCGACTAATAAAAAGATTTAGTTTTAGTTATACTATATATTTGTGCGCGCAGCGACATATGTATGAGTTATTATAACCAACAGAAAATCACCCATTTAGTCGATTATAACATTGGTTGATAATGCATATTTTTATTTGTTAAGTATGTCTTATTTTTTGACTAATTATGTAAACACGTTCTCAGTATATGTTTTCCAATTAAAAGAGTCAATTTTTTATAACTCTAAGTTGCATCCAAATGAACTTCGTCTTTTCAAATCTCTATCTAACCAAAAAAAAAAGAAATTACTCAATGCTTATTTTTATCCGTTTGACTTCGAGCCCGTTTGATAATACTCAAATAGGCTATATTTGCTGATTCTGCTGAAATTTATGAACTTTTGGCCGAAGTGGCTGGATTGGCTGATTCTGCTAATTTATGAAAAAAAATAATATTTAAAATATATTTTATTAATAAAATAAAGAAAAAATTATATGAAAAAACCGCTAAAATGATCATCTACAGTAACTTCAGCCAATACATCCAAAAATTAATTTCATCAACTTTACCTTTTCTTATTATCACACAATTCAGCGTGCGAAATCAAAAGTTACGTGTTTAGTGAAAAAAGTTAACTCATAATCCTGATAAGCCGAAAAATAGGGTCACCTAACGGGCTATTCATTTGTAGCTTATTGTTTTTTTAAACTAATAACCACACATTGTTGTGATTTATTTATTAAATAATGGATGTGGTCGTTTGTTTGAAGATATTAGCTCTTCTAAGATTTAGAATTGAGCAAATTAGTCCTAACTCAATCTTTAAGAAACAAGCTCGGAATATATAATTTTGTGACATTCTGATTTCAATGAAGGTCATGCCGGTCACAACAGGCCGGTTGCAAAACGCGAATGGTGATGGTGGATTTAGTTTCCGTTAGATTGATTTAAAATAAGTGTTATTGAACGAAGAAGATTAGTTGAATTTAATCTATAAAAAGATCCTCACATCAAGTGACAAATAATAATTGAAACATAAGCATATCAAACTATGTCCCATATTTAGAAAAGAAAAATTATCTAAATTTTATGACCGAATAATACTATATTAATGTTACATCCATGGGTAAAATAATTACTCTTTATACACAATCTAGCTTATTTATCTAGCTCTTAAACGCCACTTTCAGAATTACAATATGATTCCTATATATGTAATTAATAAAGCTTTTACGGATCTGAAACTCTCGACAAAAATATATCAAGATTTATGTTGATATTTAATACTAAAGTAAATATAACTTTTACTTTCGTAGATCAGATAAAAGAAATTGATTCCAATTGAAAATATCCTTAATTAGAAAGGTGAACACAAATTTGAAAAAGCATTAAGACAAATGTGTATTTAGCAAATGTTAGCACATGCAGTCTTATTTTTTACCCAGGTAAAAGATATTTTTATTTTTTTATTTTTATTATACTACGTAGAATGTAAGAATAGTATTTTATTATGACTATTGATATCTAATTCAATAGTCATAGCACCTGGCATTCGTGTAAAAATACTGTGTAACATTTTTTGACATTAGCAATGATGCGATTCAATTAACTTTATTGATGCCATATTTGCTGCTCCAACCAAATAAACGATGAAGTAAAAAATGAATTTGTGCATATAAGAGTCTTTCAAGTGTAACATAAAGAAAAACACAAATAAAAATATTAAGCACAATCTAAATGACATTAAGTATATTTAATTGTGAAAGCAACCAATCTAGCATGAAAATTTAAAAGTTACATGTTTATGAAAAGGTTGTCTAATAAGATTTGATAAGCTGAAAATATTGGTTATCAAATGGGCTCTTAAATTTTTATAAACACAGAACTTTTTTTTTCACGCTTAATTGTGTAATAATTAAAATACATATGTAAGGTTAGAATTACTTTTTCTACCGAATTGACTGAAGTTATTATAGAAGGTCACTTTACCTATTTTATATAATTTATCTTTCATCTATTTGTAAAATCAATTTTAAAAAATAGTTCTAATTATTACATAATTTAATGAGAAGAATCAAAAGTTACGTGTTTATTAAAAAGTTGACTGATAAAAAAAAGTAAAATCTTCTGAAAGTTTTCACTTGACATATTGTCTTTAGCATTTTTTTCAATTATGAAAAACTCTCAGTCATCCACTCTCTTTAGATATACTACGTATATAAAAATGTATTTTATCCCGTGCACGGAACGGGTAAAAAAAACTAGTAAATTTATAATTGATTGTAGTTACTTCTAGTAAAACTTTACTATGAAATTTTAACACGGGCCGGTGGTGAGTAGTATCACAACACTGACCAGTAAAGAAGCATGTTTGTAGCCCAAAAGTTTTTTCTCTTATACTCCGTATAATGTAATTTTGACACCTAAATGGACCTCAATATTTTCCGTAGAATATTCTCATTGGTATAATTAGGGTTCGCCCCCTTCATTTTCGCTATAAAATCTTCATCGCTTCAAATTTGGTTGTTATTTTCTTTGCCGATTAAGGTGCTAAGCAGATCTTGTCAGAAATGGAGCAGACTTTCATCATGATCAAGCCTGATGGCGTCCAGCGCGGCCTGGTTCGTCTCTCCCTTTAGTTTCTTCAGGGAATTTTAAAATAAATCAGTATTTGTAAGAGATTTTTTTGTGTATTTTTGTTTCAGGTAGGTGAAATTATTGGCCGGTTTGAGAAGAAGGGCTTCTCTCTGAAAGGTAATTGATGCATTAATGTCTACTAAATGTTGTTTTGCTTCTGTTCTGTGTATTGGTTGTGTTGATCGTTTTTGATAACTTAAAGTTCGAATTATGAATGTTTCTGCATCTACAGTTTGGTTTTGGCACGCTGAAAGTGGTGTTTTTTCTTTTCACTTCAAAATTTAGGTTATTGTGCTTGATCAAAGGTTCAGTGCGTCCCTTATTGAGCTCATTTCTACTTAGATTGAATAGATTCTCTCTTCCTTTGGGTACAATGGTGTTCTTACCTATAACATCATCCTTACTCTTTAGGTCTCTCATGGGAAAGATGGATATATGTTGAGCGTCTTCAATGCAATTTGAATATAGATTCGAAATACACTACAAGTAAACCTATTTATTTCCCGGTAAAAAAGAAAACCTTTTTTACATGTAAAATTACACGAATTTTAAAAAGGGGTTAGTAAACTACTTACCTTCCAAACCATGAAGCAGCTTTATTTTTCATTTTTAAAACTTAAAAGAACAGCATCTGATTTTACGGATCGAGAGGTTGATATGTGGAGTGAAATATGTAGTGATTTTTTTGAAGGATTGATTGCTTCATTCGTATGATATGTGGGTGCAGGTTTGAAGCTTGTCACTGTTGACCGTGCTTTTGCTGAAAGCCATTATGCTGATTTGTCTGCTAAGCCTTTCTTTAATGGCCTTTGTGAGTACATTGTTTCTGGTCCTGTTGTGGCAATGGTATGGGAAGGAAAGGGTGCTGTTGCAACTGGAAGGGTTATGATTGGAGCCACAAACCCCTCACAGTCTTCTCCCGGATCGATCCGTGGTGATTTTGCTGTTGATATTGGGAGGTAAATATTAGATAAATTTTCCTTCTCTGATTGGTGCACTATCCCCTGGGTCTAAAATCTAAATGGTGAAGTAAAGTTTGACTGGAATACCAGTCATGTGCTATGCAAATTCATTGCATCCTTTTGTTTAGCTGCACCATATGCTGTCTTTATATCTGTGAAAGGTTGTGTCAGATGCTCATGTTTAGATACCATAAACCCAAGTATAAAGATGTTTTTAATTGGACTGGATTCAGTCCTGGACGAGACTTCAACAGTTGTAAAATGCACATAGAGCAAACATCCATCAAATGAGTTTAGATCAGATCACACTTCTACAGATCAAATCAAACTAGTTTTGAAAATTTGAGTTCAATTAAAAACATTCTACGAGAATCCTCTGCTTTTATCCTATTTGAGTTATTCATGTGTTTAAAACACTATTTTTACATATGTCAGCAATTCAACCTTGACCAATGAGAACCTTGACCAATGAGATAATCTGAACAAGGCTGGTGAAAGGAATCACAACCATATAGCTTATTGAGTAGTATTATATTCGTATTTTATTCTTGTATAGTTGTATCCAAACAGTCAGGGACATTGATATACTACTACTGATGTGCAGGAATGTCATCCATGGAAGTGATTCAGTTGAGAGTGCAAGGAAGGAAATTGCACTTTGGTTCCCAGAAGGTGTGACCGCATGGAAGAGTGAGCTTCACCCTTGGATCTATGAGAACTAAAATATTTCTGAATTTATCTTGTAGTGATGTTTTCCTACAACTATGCTCACTTGTGTTCTCTCTGTCTTGATTATGACCAGAATGTTGTTACCTTCATCCTCTCTTTAGAAGTGCTTGAGTTTGAGCAAGATTTGTTATATTTGTAGCTTTAGTTTTGCTATGGATATTTGTTGCCATTAGGGTTGAGTCTGAAATTCGAAAATTGAATCAAAACAAACCAAGTTAAACAGAATAGCTAAAAAACCAAAACTGAAGGTAAAAAACCGAACCAAATTGTAGTTGTTCGCTAGGTGCTGGTTTTTATCTAGGCATGGACTGGTTCTGGGCTGGTCCAAACCAGGCTTTTATTTTTTGAGCCCGGAACCGGCCCAGTTTGTAACTGGGTTTGGGCCGGGCCGACCGGAACCGGTTCATGCCTATTTTTATCCTTCAAAATTGTATTGAACTCAAATTGAATTGATCAAAATATGAAATTTTATTTGTCAATCGTTAAGCATTACTCATAATATCATCAGTAGTCTTTGGTTACTTGTGCTACGAAGTTAATATTTGTGTTATATTTAGTTTAGTTTATAAATGCAATTACACATTCATTGCCTATAATGATGTAGTTATATTCATCTATTATGTCTTCTACATATGTATGGAGCATTTTGCAATTTGTTGCATGATTGTGGTATACTTTTATTGGTTATTACTAGTAACATTTATTTTTATGTAACTTGAAGTTTTTATATTGATAGAACAAATAAATATTCATCTCAATTACTCCGTATATCACATATAATGTAAATATTCATGAACTTTTTTCAAACTAATCACAATGTAAATCAAGAAGACATGTTTTTATTCGTTCTAGTATGCTTGCATTTTTAAGAAATATGTTTAACCTCCCCAATTATTGTATCATTTTAAATCAAATGAAATTTTTTTAGTAAAAAAATTGAAACCAAACCAATCAAACTTTGATTTCATGTTTTAAAATGTAAAATTGTAAACCCAAACCCAAATTAAGTCGAACTTTCGACTTTGATTTCGTGTTTGGTTTTGGTTAAAATCTAACCAAACAAACCGAATTCACCCTAATTGTAGTAGGTAGCTTATATTTAGTTAAGAAAAGAAAAACTTATGTAAAAATAAAGTAAAATTGTTCTTTGGAACAGGACTAGAACTCCAATGGTGGTCAAAACTTAAAGTTTCAATATATCTTCATTATTATATAAATATTTATTTATATATTTGTACCTTTGTTTTTCTATTCGACGAGTACTCAGCGAGTACGCGACCATTACTTAGTGAGTACTCGAGGAGTACTTTCAACTTGGTTGGTGACAATGCTGATTAGCTACTTTACATGGTCTGTATATTATTTCCGAGTTGCACGACAAGTAATCAGCGCGTTTCTAAACTCGGGACATTTTCAACTCGGCGAGTGACTCGACTAGGTTATTTTTAAGTTGAATCTGAAAAAGTTTTATCTAAAGAGGGATATTATGTAATTTATATATAATGAGTGGGTATCTTTAAAAATTGGAAATAAACCTTAAAAAATCTAGGTTTACAAGTTTCCCACCATATTTTAATGTTTGCTAAACTTTCTAAAGCTCTAAAGAAAAAAAACCTAAATAGAAACACAACATATCAAATGCTCTCAAGTAAGAATGTCGTTATTTCTTTTCAAAATAGGATTCATGTACACCTAATCAGGATTAAAAAAACTCATATTTCAATTTTCATCCTACTTTGAGCAGTTTCTAAACCTATACATTTAATATAGCATAATATATTAAAAACAAAATATAATACATACAAAAATACCAAATATAAAATATAAATAAAATTAAAAATAATTAGTAAAAATTTATGTAGGAAATTATAGGCCTAAAATAAAAATTTAAGAGTAAAATATAATGTCAAAACATGCATATATTATCTTTTCATCTATTTTATATTATTATATTCACATCTTGAATTTAACCAAAATGTTGATATAGAGTTCAGGCCTTGAGGGGATTAATTGAGCAATTCAAACATGTTCAAGGACTTATTTGAGGTTTTAGTTTCCACTTCAGATGCACAGGTAACAACCAAACGAGTGATGTGCCGGGTGATCGGGTGTTTTCCTGTAAAGAATGAAATTTGAACCATTTCTTACCGCTACAGAGCGAATTGAACTTTTTTAGTTCGAGATTTGAATTGAGCAAACACAACCGATATAAAGACACATTTGACTATTTACTTATTTAGCCTTTATATTTTTAAAATTAATTAATTAATATAGGACTGAGTAGTCACCGAGTAATCCTATATGCTAGATCCTACTCGTTACCCAGCCCTTGATCGATTTGTTATCGAGTAGCTATTTAACTACTTAAATTTGTACATTCAAATTTTTTTCTTGGGGGTTAAGACTTCTTCCGGCCCTTCACTCGCCCATGTATAATTTACTCTTGCAATTTTTAATAGGTACAAATCATAATTAATACCGAGTAGGTTTTTTTTTACTTTATTAACTAAGGATGCTTTTATTTAGACTGAAATTTTTTGGTCTGGTTTGGTAGATAACTGGTCGTTTTGAATTTTATAACTATCAAAGTTTAATCTGATCTGATATAGTCTGCTTTAATCTAAAATTGAAATATGTCCAATTAAAATGATTAAAGAATTGTTTACATTTTTTCTATTAAGTCATTTCTGGATTAAGACGTGTGTCTTAATGATTAAGTCCATTAAGTAAAAAATAAACGACAATCCATTTAAAAAAGGAAAAATGGAAACTAATAACCCAACCTTTTAGCGGTCTTCTTTTAATAGTCCCACCTTTTCGTTATTCATGAATAATTCAACCTTTGCACCTCATCTTCATTCACTGGTCCCTGACCGGTTGATGACCTGCTATTCCAAGCTATTTTCTTATCTTTGCAAATCATTATACCATAAATCTCATCTTTCACAAAGATAATATTTTGAAAAGATAAGAAAATAACTTGGAATAGTAGGTCATTAACCGACCAGGGACTAATGAATGAAGATGAGGTGCAAAGGTCGGATTATTCATGAATAATCAAAAGGTGGGATTATTGAAAGAAGACCGCTAAAAGGTTGGATTATTAGTTTCCATTTTCCCTTTAAAAAACAACCATCTATCCCTCGAAGTTGTAAAAACACCGAAACTTGTCATTCTCCATGTGCTATTGTTTACAAATTTGACCTTTCTAATTTGTGTTTACTAAAACGACTAACATATCTCCCCGCCTCCCATCCGTTGGTTGTGGCCATGGAGGATTCCGCTTTAATGATCAAGTACAATACATACAACCATGAAGGGGTCGTGTAGCGCTTAAAGGAAAGGTTCCCCATGTGATAGTTGTCCGGTGCTTGCACGCAATGCCCAAAAGTTTAACCCTTGTATAGGCAAAAAAAAGTGTGTTGTGTTTACAATGAAATAATCTCCTATTTATAAGAGAAGAATCAATGCTCTTCCAACATTTCTTCGTTGTGACGGTTAATCATTCCCCTTAATTACATTAATTTTCGTATTAATACATAAAAACGTCCTAACAACCAATATTATGTCTTATAAATGTACCATTAACTTTCATGATTAATTCCCATAGATGTAGAATTAAACCGTCAAATATTTGCCAATACATTCCTTCTGGAATCTAGAGCATCTATAAACTATCTTCCATGTCACTCTTCCCCACCTTCGCCGGCGCCACCCAGTTCATGAAACCATCTATGTTTCTAGACTTCGGGTAAAGACCGTGGACGTTGATCGAACAATCATGGCTTAGCCTTACAAGGAATGATTTTGAATCCTCTTGTCAAGGAAGAGACCCGAGCGGCCCACATTTCTGGTTTCAATGGAGTAGGTCGGTGCCACCATGAATAACCATGGTCTAATTGGGCCAGCCCAGAGCGGCATTAAATTGCCGGAAATTAAGGCTATGGAGGAAGAATGAGTCCTGCCCAAGAAAGAAAGGCCAAACAGGGAAAGAGAAAAAAAGAAAAAGAAAAAAGAAAAAAGGAAAAAGGAAAAAGAAAAAGAAAAAGAAAAAAGAAAAGGAAAGAAGGAAAAAATGTGGCGTGGACAGGCCATGTGTGCGCCTAGTCAGCAGGCAGCAGGTAACCTGTTGACTGGCAAGTTATAAGTCAAAATCGATATTAACATTTGACAAAAATACATAATAGTAGGGCGTAATTGATGGAAGTTAAAGTACAATGAGTAAATTAACTTTTTTAAAAAAGTATGATGATCAATTTGACACGTTTCTCAAGATAAAAAACTGTAAATTTAGTGCTCGGAAAAGGAACTAAAAATATATACTACGAAGTACATTAAAAGAACTCTATTTGGGTTAATTAGACAGTTTTGGATGTTTTTTTTAAAACATTGAGGATTTATTTGGTTGTTTTTGGAGTACAATGACTTAATTTTTTTATAATAATAAGCCTTTCTTGTCTTGCTAAAAGAGCATTCCGGTGCACATTGGGTTCTCCGCAAGACTAGGTTCTAGGGAATAGTTTCATCACAAAGGTTAAGTAGTCCTGAATCCTGATGAATACAGTTGAGTATTATTTGAACTTAGATTTAATTTGATGAATATACTTTCAGGTGGAATTTAACATCCATTCAATATGAATATTTTTCAAATTTGGGTTATTGAAGTTACTCTAAAGTGAATATAAATGATAAAATTAAAACAATTATGTCATAAAATAATAAACAAACTAAGTGAACCCAAAATTAAGTACGAAAGATATGCAACTCGAGTTGAAATACCAAGATGAAGCACTTAGGTGAGCATGAAGGACCACCAAAGAGTGGAATCAGAGTTGCAATACCAAGCGAAAATACAGAAATACTTAAGTGAGCTTTAATAATCATCATACTACTAACTTTCCAAAACACTTATTTTGCTTACGTATCAAATGTTTAGAAGTTTGAAGTATATTGTACTGAAAATGCGAGGAATACAATTTTTATGACTATTTTTTGTAAAGGTTTCACTAAATAGAAGTAAAATATACGCCGTACGTGTTTTTTCTGAATAGAATTATCATACCTCTCTAAATAGAAGTACTGACATTTTGAATATCGTCAAGTTAAGGTCAAACTGTCGTGCTAATACTACATAGTACGTCAATATTATTTCAAAATGTTTGTACTAGTTTCATATTCAA